TTACGCCATTCTCCTGCCTCAGCCTCCCGTGTAGCTGGGACTGCAGGCGCCCACCACCACGCCCAGCTAGTTTTTTGTATTTTTTTAGTAGAGACGGGGTTTCACCGTGTTAACCAGGATGGTTTCGATCTCCTGACCTCGTGATCCGCCCGTCTCGGCCTCCCAAAGTGCTGGGATTACAGGCTTGAGCCACCGGCCCCGCCATCTACCAACTCTTAAACATATTTTTAGTATCGGCCGGGCATGGTGGCTCACGCCTGTAATTCCAGCACTTTGGGAGGCCGAGGCAGGCGGATCATGAAATCAGGAGATTGAAACCATCCTGGCTAACATGGTGAAACCCTGTCTCTACTAAAAATACAAAAACAAAATTAGCCGGGTGTGGTGGCGGACACCTGTAGCCCCAGCTGCTCAGGAGGCTGAGGCAGGAGAATGGTGTGAACCTGGGAGGCAGAGCTTGCAGTGAGCAGAGATCACCCACCGCACCCCAGCCTGGGTGACAGAGCGAGACTCTGTCTCAAAACAAACAATTAAAAAAAATCTCTCTCTATATATGTGTGTGTATATATATGTTTATATATATTTTAATATCAGCCCTGCATTATGGATTAAAAAGACACGGTCCTACATTCATAGAAGCTACCGTCTAGTGTTGTTTTGTCCTTCTGTTGTTCTGATAAGCCCATTACAACACTTAAACACTGCTCTGATTTTTTTTTTTAATCTCTCCCACTAGCCTGTAAGCCTCTCAGTTATTCTAGGTATTTTTGTAATCTCAGGATCTAGGAAATATAGACCCAAATATATGCTCGTTGGATGGCATCCTTCTTTCTGGTTATTTTGGGTTTAGTTCTTTTTCTAGTTTCTTAAGGTGGATGAGACAATGGAGGGATGTATGAATGGGTGGATAGATGTATGGTTGAGAGTACTTGATAAGGCACTGAGGAGGGAAGAAAGGTGTACTTTAAAGCTTCTATTATAGGCAACACAGAGGTGGAGAAAGCTCCAATTAGGGAGTTGGAAAGCAATGGGTTTTATGTGGAAACTTTGCTTCCATATTTCAGGATGCTACCTATGATACATGAGAGTAAGCAGTTTGTGCTCAGAGAGGAAGCTATTATTTCTATAAACAGTGATCTGATTGATCCTCTAAAGTTGCACTTAACCTCTGCCCAGAGAGATTAGAGCCACCTCTTTTTTTTTCCTTGCAGGTCAACCACACCTCGACCAGTGGGCATTACTTCCCCATCACAGTCAGGTGGAGAACACTTTTCCCCTAAATATCTGTGTGAGATGAATATCCTTTCCTTATGTAGAAGATGGTTTCCTCTCAGAGACAATAATGTGATCTTCCTAACTTTATGTATAATATGAAAACATTGGCCGGGCGCGGTGGCTCAAGCCTGTAATCCCAGCACTTTGGGAGGCCGAGACGGGCGGATCACAAGGTCAGGAGATCGAGACCATCCTGGCGAACACGGTGAAACCCCGTCTCTACTAAAAATACAAAAAATTAGCCGGGCGAGGTGGCGGGCGCCTGTAGTCCCAGCTACTCGGGAGGCTGAGGCAGGAGAATGGCGTGAACCTGGGAGGCGGAGCTTGCAGTGAGCCGAGATTGCGCCACTGCACTCCAGCCTGGGTGACAGAGCGAGACTCCATCTCAAAAAAAAAAAAAAAAGAAAATGGCAGAATTTATCTGAAGATCCACAATCTAGAAATGGAACCACTGCTCTTTTGACAGATGCCATCTCAGTGGCATCACTGGAAAGTCCAGATTGCCTGACAAACTGGTAATCAATGACTGGGGGTCAGGTTCCAACAGATGTCTGGGCTTAAGGGAGTTAAGTCTATGCTGAAAGATGGAAAGGGAGAAGAGGACATAAAAACGAATTTGTTTTTTAATACCACAAGGCTTTTGTGCCAAGGTGGCCATGTGTGTCAAAGTCAGAGAATCCCTCCTTCTGGGAGCCAAGAGGAAGTCTCTCAGAACTAGAAGGGGAAGGTGTTTTCCTCGCATCAATCCAGCTTCGGAGACTTTCTATTAGTGGCATATGCCCCTTCCCCAAAAAACAAGTGTTCTGTGTTCTAATAACATATAAAGCTAGGTTTTTTTTGAGGCTGGGCACAGTAGCTCACGCCTGTAATCCTAGTACTTTGGGAGGCCAAGGCGAGTGGATCACTTGAGGTCAAGAGTTCGAGACCAACCTGGCCAACATGGTGAAACTCAGTCTCTACTAAAAATACAAAAGTTAGCCAGGCATGGTGGTACACGCCTGTAGTCCTAGCTACTTGGGAGGCTGAGGCATGAGAATCACTTGAACCCAGGATGTGGAGGTTGCAGTGAGCTAAGCTTATGCCATTGTGCTCTAGCCTGGGCAACAGAGCGAGACTGTGTCTGAAAAACACAAAAACAAAAAAACAACAACAATAACAAGTAAAACTAGGTTTTTGCCTTTTTTTTCTTTTTGTTTCACCTTATACAGTCGGTCCTCCTCAGCGGAATCTATTCCTTATAGAGAGGCTGGCTTTGGTGGCTTGGGACAAGTAAGTAAAGTTCACCTTATCTTTCAGATTGAAGTTTCTAATGCTAAATGAAAGCAAAGGTTTATCAAGAACTTAAATTTATATTGGTTTTGGCATAAATTATCTGATGTCTTACTGGACCCTATTTTCTTCTGGCAATGGAGACCTGATGTTAGAAACTGACAGAGAATAAATAGGGGTGGAAATAGTGAAAGTGTTTAAGGACTGAATCAACAATGTCCATGGTGTTCATTTTGGAAGGAGTGAAGTATGGATCTTTCTTAGACTAGTATGCCCACTGTAGTAGAACAATATATGCTTGAATGTGTAGCTATAGATAAATAGGGAATAGGGAAGCCAGATAACTGAGATATATTTATTAATTGATGCTTATTATTTGTCTATCAGGGAGGCAGAGGTCTGCAGGGACGGAGAACTCCCAGAGACTCTTATAATGGTGAGGTGGGGGGGAAAGGGTGTCAGAAATCAACCTACTCTATGCAGAGATCTGCAGATTTCTGGTTTTCTATGCATAATATAATGCCATTTCACTTGTTTTTTTTCCAGACAGTGATTCCATGTATCCATACATACATTACAAATTTTTCAAATAATGATATTTTTGTTTTCCAACTAATAAGGGGAAAATAAAGATTTGAGTGATAGAAACTCATTGAAAACCTCTGGTTAGGAGATGGAGGATAACTTTTCAGTAAAATTGACTTGGATTTTTTTGAATTGCCACAAGATGGCATTATAAGCTAAGTATAAAAAGAAGGTTCACAAGATGCCGATTGTTGGCCTGAAGGGTATCTGGCTTCTTTGCTGTGTTTTAAACATAAAAATATTCCAGTGAAGGAATATTTTGGGTCTGCTTACTTAATTTCTTACCTAAAGCCCCTTAAAATTATTACTGTTGTTACCATTTTCAAGGGCATTAACCAGTACCTAAAGAATATGTATCAGAGAGGACTTTCACAAGAAATCATTTGAAATCCCCAAATATCTTTTCTTTAATTCTCCAAATAGTCTCCCACTAAATCTCCCACATTTGAAATCTCCCACTCCTTTGAAAAACATAGATGTTCTAGACAATTTATTTCTCTCAGGTTAGTAACAACAATGTTCTCTTTTTCATTCTTAATTTTAGTAATTTGAGTCTTTTCCTCTTTTTTTTTTTTTTTTTTGGTCAATCATTTCAAAGAATTCGTTTTGTTGAGAGTCTGTATTATTTTTTCTATTTTCTGTTTCATTTACTTCTGGTTTAGTCAGTTTCCTTCTCATTATTTTGGATTTACTTCTTTTTCTAGTTTCTTAAGGTGGAAGGTTCGATTATTGATCTGAGATCTTTTTTACTATTGATGTTTCCAGTCATAAATTTCACTGTAGCACTGCTTTCACTGCATCCTATAACATTTGGCATGCTGTGTTTTGTTTTCATTCATTCCAAAGTTTGTTTGTTTGTTTGTTTTTTGAGGTGGAGTCTCACTCTGTCGCCCAGACTGGAGTGCAGTAGCGCCTTATCAGCTCACTGCCACCTCCACCTCCTGCGTTCACCCTCCCAAGTAGCTGGGACTACAAGCTCATGCCACCACACTTGGCTAATTTTTGTATTTTTAGTAGAGATGGCGTTTCACCATGTTGATCAGGCTGGTCTCCAACTCCTCACCTCAGGTGATCTGCCCACCTCAGCCTGCCAAAGTGTTGGGATTACAGGCATGAGCCACCACACCCAATCCCATTCCAAAGTATTTTTTAATGTCCCTCGTGATTTTTGTTTTTTGGACCCATTGGTTGTTTATCAATGTGTTGTTTAATATCTACACATATGTGAAGTTCCCAAATTTCCTCCTGTTATTGATTTTGACTTTCAGTAATTTAAATCCTTTTAAATTTATGACACAACATGTGGTCCATCCTGGAGAATGCTCCATGTGTATGTGGGAAGAATGTATATTCTACTATTTTTGGGTGGTGTATTCTATAGAGTCTGCTAGGTTTAGTTAGTATATCGTGTTGTTCAATTAGTACGCTTCTGTTTCCTTTCCTTGCTGATCCAGTCCAGTTGTTCTGTCCATTATTGAAAGTGGGGTATTAAAGTCAACAACTATTATTGTGGTTTTTGGTTTTTTGTTTTCTTGTTTTTTTGAGACAGAGTCTCGCTCTGTTGCTGATGCTGGAGTGTAGTGGCACAATTGTGCCTCACTGCAGCCTCCACCTCCCACGCTCAAGCGATAGTCCCACTTCAGCCTCCTGAGTAGCTAGAACAAAAGGCATGTGCCACCACACCTGGCTAGATTTTTTATTTCAATTTTCTTGTCTTTGTAGAAATGAGGTCTTCCTGTTCTGCTCTGGCTGGTCTCGAATTCCTGGGCTCAAGCGATACTCCTGCCTCAGCTCCCAAAGTGCTGGGATTATAGGCATGAGCAACCATGCCAGTCCTTATTATTGTCAAATTGTCTTATTTTCTCTTCAATTCTCAATTTTTGCTTAATGTATTTTAGGACTCTATTGTTAGATGCATATATAAATGTTTCTCTTCTTGATATAAATGGACCCCTTTATCATTATTTAATGCCTTTGTCTCTTGTAACTTTTTTTTTTTTTTTTTGAGACAGAGTCTCACTGTCCTCTTGGAGAGTGCAGTGGCAAAATCTCGGCTCACTGCAACCTCTTCTCCCAGCTTCAAGCGATTCTCGTGCCTCAGCCTCTTGAGTAGCTGGGATTACAGGCATGTGCCACCACGCATGGCTAATTTTTGTATTTTTAGTAGAGACGAGGTTTCACCATGTTGGCTAGGCTGGTCTCAAACTCCTGGCCTCAAGTGATCTTGCGGCTTTGGCCTCCCAAAGTGCTGGGATTACAGGCATGAGCCACGATGCCTGGCCCAACAATTTTGTCTTAAAGTCTATTTTGTCTGATATTAGTATAGCCACTCTTTTGTTCACTGTTTTTTGCATGGAATATATTTTTTCATCCTTCTCCTTTCAACCTATATGCATCTTTGAATCCAAAGTGAGTCTCCTGTAGACTGTGTATAGTTGGACTTGTTTTTTCTTTCATCTGTTCTGCCAGTTTCTGCCTTTTAATTCATTTACATTTAGTGTAATTACAGATAAGGAAGGACTGATTTCTGCATTTTGTTATTTGTTTTCTATATGTCATGCTTTTTGATTAGCCTTTTGTTTGTCCCAGCTGATATTTATCTCCTTAGGCAGCCAAACAAGTGCTTCTAATTGTTTTCAACAGACTGGAGAAAGGTTTTTCTGCACTTGGTAAGCTCTGAGCTCCAAGTCCTGGTGAACTTGAGCTCCAAATCCTGGTGCTGTCAAATAAAGACAACCTTGAAAGTGGGGTCTTCCAGGGAACCACTAGACAGGTCAAATTATAACAATTCTCTGGGAATGAGTCCTTCAAAAAGCTCTAACCCTGTTCCATCCCCTCTAGTGACTGCCAGACTGTTGGTTTTCACCATGAGTGTGCCCTGTTGGTTTTCAAGGCTACCATGGAGCCAGAGAAGGAGAAATGGCAATAAAGCAAGTTAAAATGCCACAAACCTTGCTGTTTTTACTAACATTCTGCTATTTTTCTTGAATAAACATTCTCCAGATTACTACAAGCCCTTTGTTAATTTCCAGATTTCTGAAGAAGTTGATTCTGACCATTATGCCAATTTTCTCATTGCTTTTATGGAGGAGGAAATTTTTGGAGGTCTTTGCTCTGCCATTTTTGTTGATGTCACTCGTAACTAATTTTTGTCTTTACCCATTCTTTCTGGTGATTTCCATCTTAGAGGGGAAGCCAAGGCACAGATACATTAGAGCACATGAAGGCAGTGAGGGATCTCAGTCCACAGACTCATGAAAGGGAGAGGAAAGCACCTATAAGAGATACTGCTATGTGATTTGTGAGCTTTTTCACTTGGCATTAGCCCCCAACCCTAACGTATATACTAAAAATCTTTTATCTCCATTTCCTTTGCCCTGGCCCCAAGTATACCTGAATCTCTTCTCCAGTTCATGGGTGATCTCATAGGCTTATTTTTATGCTTTCCAGAAACCCCTTCACCAGCTTCAACTCACAGCCTATCTTATAGGTGAGTAACACTGCGCTTCCTTTTTCTTGGGATGTGTTCATACTTAAACTCTGCCAGCAGGCTTGGTGCGGTGGCTCACGCCTGTAATCCCAGCACTTTGGGAGGCCGAGGAGGGTGGATCACGTGAGGTCAGGAGTTCGAGACCAGCATGGCCAACATGGCAAAACCCCGTCTCTACTAAAAGTGCAAAAATTAGCCGGGAGTGGTGGCAAATGCCTGTAATCCCAGCTACTCAGGAGGCTGAGGCAGGAGAATTGCTGAATCCAGAAGGTGGAGGTTGCAGTGAGCTGAGATGGTGTCACTGCCCTGCAGCCTGGGTGACAGAGTGAGACAATGTCTCAAAAAAACAAACAAAAACAACAGAACTCTGCCAGCAGTCCTGGGGTTACTTTTCCACTGGCTTGTACCACTGAAGTTTATAATGTGCCTTATAAGCAAAAAGGAAGTTGGATAGCACTGTGTTTAATATACATCCAAATTACTGTATTTTGGACAGGTAGTGGCTCCCACCTGTAATTCCAGCACTTAGGGAGCCCAAGGTGGGAGGATTGCTTAAGCCCAGGTGTTGGAGACCAGCCTGAGCAACAAAGCGAGACCTAATTACCTGGGCTTGGTGGGTGTATGCTAGTGGTCCCCGCTACTTGGGAGGCTAAGACAGGAGGATTGCTTGAGTTTAGGAAGTCAAGGCTGCAGTGAGCCATGATCATACTACTGCACTCCAACCTGGGTAACAGAGTGAGACCCTGTCTCCAAAAACAAAAAAATTATCCTCAGTTGCAAGCAGGGGATTTTTTTCCTCTCTGGCCTAACTGTATAGACTCTTCCATTACATATGCTTTTTATTTTTACTTTTACCTTTCCTTTTCTCTGCTGATGCTTTTATTTCCTTTCCTTAGACCTTCATCTGCCTCCTCTGGACAGGGGATTTTTTCTTTCAGACCATCCCCAAATGGGCATTCAGGTCACACAAGAGTCCTCACCCCCAACAATTTTGGTAAGTTAAATAACATTTCCAGAGGAATGGAGCTTCAACTATAGGCACATATACTAAACTGAAGATTTTCAAGATGACAAGATGTTGAGGTTTGCCCCCCAAAGAGCATTGTCTCTAGTTGGCTCCTTAATATTCTTTAAGAGCCATCCCATTTTCTTCAGAGTGAAGGGAAACTCTGGGTTTTGCCTGGTTAGCACTCATCCTGTCACCAGTTGAGTCCTACTGTTTAGCCAGAAGGTTGGCCTGTAGGACTAAACTGGCTTCTCAAAAGTCCCTATATTGAAAATGCTGGGCACTCAGTTCTGAGGATTATAAGGCCAATATCCATTTTTCTCTGCATCTTTTTCAGTAAAGGTGGTACCACCAGTCCTCTTGTTAAGAGGCTGCCATCTTCCATAACTCACCTAAATCTTTATATTGCCTATCTTTCCACTCATCGTTAAATCTCAGACCTCTGCCAGTACCTGGTCCTCACAGGAAAAGAACAGACTTTATAACCCATTTCTTAAATTGATAATTGTGTTTCCCTTCTGAGTAGTGTTCCTTTAAGAACTACCTCGTGGCCGGGCGCAGTGGCTCAAGCCTGTAATCCCAGCACTTTGGGAGGCCGAGATGGGCGGATCACGAGGTCAGGAGATCGAGACCATCCTGGCTAACATGGTGAAACTCCGTCTCTACTAAAAAAAATACAAAAAACTAGCCGGGTGAGGTGGCGGGTGCCTGTAGTCCCAGCTACTCCGGAGGCTGAGGCAGGAGAATGGCGTGAACCCAGTAGGCGGAGCTTGCAGTGAGCTGAGATCCAGTCACTGCACTCCAGCCTGGGTGACAGAGCGAGACTCCGTCTCAAAAAAAAAAAAAAAATTAAAAATTAAAAAAAAAGGTCTCAAAAATCAAAAAAAAAAAAAAAATTAAAAATTAAAAAAAAAAAAAAAGAACTACCTCGTTACCCTGACCCACAAGTAACACCGCCGAGAAACTGCCCAAGGAAGTCATCTTTCACTGTTCCATTCTATCCTTCAGCTCAGAGGGAGAGCAGAACCACACTAGAGAGTCTTCCTAGTTTCCAGCTTCCAGTCCTGCAGGTGAGACCTGGCTAGTCTAACTTGTCTGTGCATAAAATCTCACATGGTTAGGCCTGCACACTAAATGCCTCAGGGTAGTGGAATATAACCAGTGAAGAACGATATGAGTTTCTGGTAACTGTATGTTCACAACCTTCCAGAATGGTCTCAATTCTAGATTTTATCCTACTGTTGGATTAGCTTCCTGGTTTGGGGTTTTAAAATGAAGTCACATGCTAGTGAGAGGCTTTAAACTGAGAGGTCTTGGCCAGGATGAAATAAGTGTGGACACACTGACATTTTCAGTAGTTCCACAATCAAGTATTTTCTATGAAATATATCTTTTGGGTAGAGGTACTACTTGAACTAGGAAAAACCACATTTACTTCTCCAGAGACAGCTAGAGTAATATTTTATAAATTTATGGGACTATGATTCCGATTCCAGTAACAAAAGGAAAAGGGCATGGTAACAAGGAAAGGTTTGTAAAGAGTTCTGTTAAATGAAAAGTCACCGGGGGCGGTGGCTCACGCCAGTAATCTCAGCACTTTGGGAGGCCGAGGCGGGTGGATAACCTGAGGTCAGGAGTTAGAGACCAGCCTGACCAATATGGTAAAACCCCATCTCTACTGAAAATACAAAAATTAGCTGGGTGCAGTGGCAGGCACCTGTAATCTCAGCTACAAGAGAGGCTGAGACAGGAGAACTGCTTGAACCTGGGGGGCGGAGGTTGCAGTGAGCTGAGATCATGCCACTGCACTCCAGTGCCTGGGTAAACAGAGCGAGACTCCATCTCAAAAATAAATAAATAAATAAAAATAAAAAAATAAAAGTCCAGTCTTGCCTTTTTTTTTTTTTTTTTAATGGCTTGGATTTTGAGCATATTTAGGCCCTTTTTTCACTCCAAGCTCCTGGTGTCCCCAGGGACAGTTCCTTCATACTAAGGTAGGTATATATTTTGCTCCCATATTCCAAGATGCCCTTTTATTTTCATCAGTAAGAAATTAGGGTCTAAGCCTTAAGAGGCAACACTGGGGAAATAACAGTCCTCCCTAAGATCCTCACAAATGGAGGGATTAACCTACAGAGGAAAAAATACTTAAAAGCTTAATAAACCGTCTACAAATATTTGGCCCCTAACTGGATCTTGACTGAAACAAGCTGTAGAAAAAAAAATTTAAAAAAAAAACAATTCATGAGACAGTTTAACAAAATTATCTATTGGACATTTGATATTAAATAATTGTTAATATTGGAGAGTTTTTGGTATGATGATATTGTAGTTATGTTTTTAAAAATAGCCATTCACTTTTATAGATACATACTATTTATGGATGAAAAGTCAAATGATGTCTGGGGTTTGCATCCCTAATTTAGTAGGGAGGGACAGTGGGAGAGTAGAAATAAAAGATTGGCCATGAATTATTTGTTAAAGATGTACAATGGGCACATGAGTTCATTATACTATTCTATCTATTGTTTGAAAATGTGAAAAAATTTTAAAGGTATTGAAGGAAATGCCACCTCCTCAGAGGCCTAAGTACTCTGCCTCCCTGGTAGTCATCTCTGGGTGTGGTAGTCATATGTCCCAGATTTTCCAAAATAATTTTCAAATATTCATCCTTATTATTATCACCATAGCCACTGAAATGTTCCAGAGACTGTCACATTAGATGTAGTAAATCCTAGTTTGGAAAAACTAGTTATCATGCAATGAAGAAAACTATGGGGAAGCAAAAGCAGTGGTGTCTGTCTCGATAAGCTTCATACAATGAGTTCAGAGAGACTTTCTTGCCCTTTTTGTTGTTATAAACACCCACATCTACCTTTTTGTCCTCTGCTGCAGACTCTCTACCAACAACAGAGGCAGATGGGATTACCCAGTGGGAGAGAAGCATGGACCACTTCCAGATAGATCATCTTCAAGGTCTGATCTATACATACTGCTGAAGGATGGACTGTAGCTTCCAGGACCCATTAGGGGTGATGGCCCCGGAAAATTTATCCCTGCATTGTTTCCTAGTTTCACTCTATACCTTATGCTCCCTCCATCTTTACCCTATTCACCCTTATCACCTCCCAGGACAGTGGTCAGGTCTTACAAAAGGCTAGTGCTTCAGGAAGATGTTTATAGCTCTTCCAGAAGACCTTGGTAGCTCCCCTCATTTCCTACAATTTGAAACAAAGGTCATAAAAATAATTATTGGCATCATGCTTGGTTGGGAGTTGGGAATGGGGATTGTGATGGATCATATACTCATCACTGTTTCATTTCTGGATTTCATTTTTAGCTATGGATATACTGTCACATTGCCAATGTTAACAAGTAACATCTCTGTTCTTTGTCCTTATTATACACTTTCTATTTGCCTATTGTTTCCTCTATGCTTAGTTACTATTAAATGCTAATTTTCCTTTCTATTGAAAAAAACTGTTGGAGACACTGATTTTCTGTTTAGTATATAGATAGTAAAATTAAGACGACACCCTTTTATTGCTACAATTCTATCACTATTACAAGTTCTAGAATGGTGGAATAGGCAAACAACACTACCACTGAGATCAAACATGTACTTTGGGTACTAAAAGGCAGAAATGAGGAATTAAATAGGTTAGCCACTCACAAGTTGGCCTTAAGCAAAAATACTGGGAAAACAGAAAATAGCAGGCATCTGCCAGAAATAAATTAGCTCTTGGGAATGACCTTGTATCTGAATTAGGAGCCCTATACCCTTTCTGGTACTCTGAATTTATTTTAAAGGCATTTCTAGACACCTTCTCTTTTAGGCAAGAGTCTGTCCTGTAGCAAATGGAGTTACCTCCAAGATTGTTGTATCTCTGTTACTCCTGAAGCCTCAGAAATTTCAGTCATTATCATTTGATGGCTGAGAAACAACCTGGCTGGTGACAGATGCTGAACTACTTCCTTTTAAAGTTTTTATTCTTCTTTTAATTTACCTCAATAAGTCCTGCCCCTCCAAACAATAAATTAAAAGTATGCTGAGTTAGAATGTTAATGGATTTGGTTCCATTAATCCCTAAACCATAGGAGTGGCAAAGTGGATGAGAGAGAAACAATTTTATTTTTGGCCTTTTTATTATTATTCTAGCATTCTAGGGCTTCTACTCTTTTATTTTTAGATGGTTAACTCATTGATGATACCTATTTGCCATATAGCTGATCCCAACTGATGAAAACCATTCTAAAACATCAATAATTAATTCACTTAAAGACGATGGTCCCTCTGTCCCTAAGACAGATCCTATAAAGAGAGGGGAAAAGTCTCTTTTTCAGAAACAAATTGACAGCAAAAAGATGAAAATTTAGTCTCTGTCAAGTTGGACAGGAGGTAGTTATCAGGTTTGTAAAACCAAACCTGGAACCTACCTCCACTGCCCTTCAACAAGGGGAAACTATTCCCTCTTTCACCCCTTTGTAACACAGTTCTACTTTTTAAAATGACATCTTCCCTAATTACCACCTCCAATAAATATCCATTCTAAATTATTCTCTACCCAATTATTAAAGTTTTTCACAAGCTCGGTGGGGGAAGATTTACCCTGAGACAAACAGTGAACAGAGTGAGGATTTTGGAAAGACAGAAAAAACTACAAAGCAAAGTGGTCCCAGCATAAAAACTGAAAATAGCCGGGTACAGTGGCTCACGCCTGTAATCCCAGCACTTTGGGAGACTGAGGCGGGCAGATCACGAGGTCAGGAGATCAAGACCATCCTGGCTAACACGGTGAAACCCCATCTCTACTAAAAATGTAAAAAAATTAGCCGGGCATGGTGGTGGGCGCCTGTAGTCCCAGCTACTTGGGAGGCTGAGGCAGGAGAATGGCATGAACCCGGGAGGCAGAGCTTGCAGTGAGCTGAGATTGCGTCACTGCACTCCAGCCTGGGTGACAGAGCAAGACTCCATCTCAAAAAAAAAAAAAAAAACCCGAAAATATTCTGCCACCTGTGATTTAGTCATGAAGCAGGTGAAACATAGTCAAGTTGGTATGAGGAAAAGGAAATATTAATATTTCTGATGAGATTGGGACTTACTGAGAATCTTGGTTGTCTAGGAAATGATCAGTTATTAAGAAAAAAAGTAAGAGTCAGTTGCATCATGCACAGACTTGTGCTCAGAAACGGGGTGCAAGGCAGCCTTATATTCCAGGTAAGATGGTGGGATTGGGGATGCACTGGAATCATCAATCAAATCAGAATCCTTTACTCCTCCTTTCCAATCCTCCTGGAGAGGTGGAGCCAATGTCTGGCCTCTCTATAGTACACTAAGGGAAAAGAACAGCAGACACGAGGTGAGCAAGAGCAGTTTGCCAGCCCATGGTTTCCCCAGATCCTTAGCACTCTCTACACTAAGGTTAGAGCTCTGGATTTCTGCTGATCCAATCCCAGCCTTACTTAGTGCCCTATGGTCATCCTCCCTGGTCCACCCTCACTATATTCCCCTGCCACCCACCCTGAAGAACACAAAGCTTTTTAGTTCTCTGCCACAAGGTAATTTTAAAAATGTGGTTTCTTTGTTTAAAACAGTTACTAAGTTGTTTCATCTTTTCATAACAGACCTCCCCTCCCCCAGCTCCCCACTCAGTCTTGTATGATCACATCATCATCATCATCATCTTCCTCCTCCTCCTCTTCTTCCTCATCACCTTCTAGCAGTTCTTCCTCCTCCTCTTCCTCTTCTTCATCTAGACAAACTACCACCTCAGCTGGCTGAGGTAATCGAGAGTCAAACCAATCCAGTACCTGCTGGGTGCTAAGCCTTGATGCCTGACTCAATTGAGGGATATCAGTTTCCCGTAGCTGTTGGTGGGCTGCCCAGTACCTCTCCAAGGGTTGTATATCCGGTGGGGGTGGAGGGATCGGCAGAGGTGATGTCTCAGCCCTTTCATTCAAGGAGCGGGTTGATGGTGGTGGTGTAGGAATTGCTAGGTCTTGGAAACTAGGGGCACCAGGTACTGCGTTGTCCCGAAACCATTTTAGTTGCCCATGCTTCAAGGCATAACGTGTGTCACCAAACCACTGAATGATCTCAGGCCGAGGTAAACCAGTAATCTGTTCTAACTTTTGGTAATCCTCACGCCGTGCCCATTGGCACTGTAAAAAAAAGGATTTGAGGATAGCCAGCTGCTCTTTGGTTTTGCGCTTGGTCTTTCGCTGGCGTTGCATATCTGGGGAAAGGTACTCTGTGGGGCCAACCCTACCTGGTACTGAATTATGCCGTAGCCCTTGGGGCCAGGCTGGTTCCAGATGTGGGGGTAATGCCTGTTCACTGGGTGACACTGACTGTGGGATACAGCCTAATGGCTGGAGGGGTTTAGAGGTGGCAGTAGCTCCATTAGCCAGTACCTGGAAAGAAGAAGAGGAGGTAGAGGAAGAAGAGGGAGTAACACTAGATGCTGACTCCTCCTTACAACTACTGGCAATTAATGCAATTGGTGGGGGTTTATCCCGAGCTTGTGGTGGGGGGACAGTTGTGGAGTGGTTCCAGGAAGCAGTACCTATGCCACGTGATTGGTTGGGACCCCTGCCTGCCTGCTCCTTTGAGAAGCCACTGCTTTGACGATGTTGCCAAAAATCTGATTGGTGGGGGAATGCTCCACTGCCAGGTGTCATCAGGGACTCCTTTAATTTCTGGTGACTCTGTGGCAGTGGTGGCATCTGAGAGGACTCCTCAGGCTCTACCTTCAATCCTTTCGTCTGGGTGGGCTTGCTAAGAGACGGAGGACCTATTCCAATACCAACTTGTTCTGGAGCTGGCATTGGAGAAGGAGGCACCTCCTCTGGGGGCCGTCCTGCATGATGAGTAAAAGAGAGAAGGGATTTGAAATGGAGTTGGTCCCGACGGTAGACTACTCGGGCTCGAGTTTCTTCTATTTCTTCAGATGACCAGCTAATACCACAGCGGAGGCGCTGGGCCATAAACCAAGTCTTGACTTTCTCCATCTGCAACCCATAACGTAGGCAGAGAAGGGCAATGTCTGCTAGGCTGGGATAGGGAAAGTAGCTGAAGGTTTTTAGCAGGTGTTCATTGCTGTCTAGCTCACTGGTCTGGGCTGCTTGGGTCCACACAAGCTGTAGCTCCTCAGAGATTGGAGGGAGGCAGATGAGCCCCGCTGGTGAACTACTGAGACCGCTGGCCTCTTTATTAGGAGGCATGGTGCTTTCTGATTTGTGCCCTTCAGAGATAGCTGTAATAAGAAAAGAAACAGCTCAATCACTGGGTCTCCTCTTCTGACACATTGCTCAATTTCTACCAAACTAACTGCTGGACACCAAAACAATTAAGTTTCTATTTGCATCATGTTGTATTGCTTTTTAAGTGCTTCAACAGTTTCTTATTTAATTTTCACAAACAAGTCATCAGACCCTGCTTTAATTCCAATTTTCTGTGGACTAAAGTCCATAGATGTTAAATTACCCCCAGTCACATGACTGGTGAGTGTTGTTCCAAGAAAAAAATCTGTCTTTAAAGCCAGTCATGGTGGCTCATACCTGTAATCCCAGCACTTCAGGAGGCCTAGGTGAGAGGGATTGCTTGAGCCCAGGGGTTTGATACCAGCTTGGGCAACATGGTGAGACTACAAAAAATTTAAAAATCAGCTGGGCATGGTGGTTCGTGCCTGTAGTCCCAACAACTTGGGAGGCTGAGGCAGGAGGACTGCTTGAGCCTGGGAGGTCGAGGCTGCAGTGAGCTATGCTTGCACCACTGCACTCCAGCCTGGGTGATAGAGTGAGACCCTATCTAAAACAAACAAAAAAAGGCCGGGTACAGTGGCTCATGCCTGTAATCCCAGCACTTTGGGAGGCCAAGGCGGGAGGATCACAAGGTCAGGAGATCGAGACCATCCTGCCCAACATGGTGAAACCCCGTCTCTACTAAAAATACAAAAATTAGCTGGGCATGGTGGTGAGCGCCTGTAATCCCAGCTACTCAGGAGGCTGAGGCAGGAGAATCATCTGAATCCAGGAGGCGGAGGTTGCAGTAAGCCGAGATCAGTGCCATTGCACTCCAGCCTGGGTCACAGGGTAAGACTCCGTCTCAAAAAAAAAAACAAAACAAAAAAAACCTGTCTTTAGAGGTTAAGAAGGAAAACTGATCCTGATACAGTTTTTGTGTGTATGTGTGTGTGTGTGTATGTGTGTGTGTGTTTGAGACTGAGTCTCGCTCTGTTGCCAGGCTGGAGTGCAGTGGCACGATCTTGGCTCACTGCAACCTCCACTCCCGGGTTCAAGCAATTCTCTGCCTCAGCCTTCCGAGTAGCTGGGATTACAGGTGCCCACCACCACGCCTGGCTACTTTTTGTATTTTTAGTAGAGATGGGGTTTCACCATCTTGGCCAGGCTGGTCTTGAACTCCTGACCTCGTGATCCACCTGCCTCTGGCCTCCCAAAGTGCTAGGATTACAGGTATGAGTCACCACAGCCAGCTGGTGGGGTTTTGTTTTTTTTTTTAAGAGATAATATTGCTCTGTCACCCAGGCCACCCAGGCTGGAGTGCAGTGGCACCATCATAGCTCTGATACAGCCTTCATCTTTCCTATTCAAATCCACTTCTAGAAGCTATCCACCAACTCTCACCTTCTAAATTCATGGAACAAGAATCACACAGTGAAGACTCAACCACAAAAACAAGAGGAGCAATAATTTCAACTTGTTTGTGTGTGTGTGTGTACATTTTTGTTTTTGTTTTTTCAAGAGACAGGGTCTCACTCTGTTGCATAGGCTGGAGTGCGGTGGTGTGATCATGGCTCATTGCAGCTTTGAACTCTTAGGCTCAAGCAATCCTCCTACCTCAGCCTCCCAAGTAGCTAGGACTACAGGTATATGCAGCCATATCTGGCTAATCTTAAAATTTTTTGTAGACAGGGTCTCACTATGTTGCCTAGGCTGGTCTCAAACTCCTAGCCTCAAGTGATCCTCCCACCTCAGCCTCCCAAAGTGCTGAGATTACTGGAGTGAGCCACTGCACCTGGCCCTGAGAACTGTTTTTTTTTGTTTTATTTTGTTTTGTTTTTTTGAGCAGGGAGGGTCTCGCTTTGTTGCCGAGACTGGAGTGCAGTGACATGATCTCAGCTCACTGCAGCCTCTGCCTCCTGGGTTCAAGTGATTCTTGTGCCTCAACTTCCCGAGTAGCTGGGACTACAGGCGTGCGCCACCATGCCCTATTATATTTTGTATTTTTAGTAGAGATGAGGTTTCACCATGTTAACCAGGATGGTCTCGAACTCCTGACCTCAAGTGATCCACTGGCCTCAGCCTCCCAAAGTGCTGGGATTACAGGCCTGAGCCACGGCCCCTGGCCAGAACTGTTAATAACTATTTTTTTTTTTTTTTTTGAGACAGAGTCTTTTGTCACCCAGGCTGGTGTGCAGTGGCGCGATCTTGG